TGTCTCAAAAAGAAAAAATAATAATAATAATTAGGGTTTTCCCAATAACAGATCTTTGCCTTCTGTTCTGGGGCATACCCAGACCAGGGGGGCTTTAGGGTGTCATGAGCCCTGAGGGGGTCACATGGGCTGCAGTTAAGTAGCTATCCCCCAAGCTGGTTCCAGGGGTGGGTTGAGGTCAGGATGGCAAGAAAGTGCACACTGAGGGGCCACCTTGGAGCAGTCCCTGATTGTAAAGCCCAAGATTTAGCTTTCAGAGTTGGCCTCAGCCTGGAGCTCCAGACAGATGCCTGGAGTCCGGGCGCTGGAGGGGCGAGGGCGGGCTGGGCAGGCGGATCGGACCCCTCTCCCCGCTGCCAGGTGCTGACCTGCGCCTCCTGCAGCTGGCGCTGGAGCAGCGCTGCCGGGAGCTGCGCGTGCGGGGCCGACGCCTGGAGGAGACCCTGCCCCGACGCATCGGCTCTGAGGAGCAGCGCGAGGTGCTCAGCCTGCTGTGCCGCGTGCACGAACTCGAGGTGGAGAACACCGAGATGCAGTCGCACGCGCTGCTCCGCGACGGGGCGCTCCGCCACCGCCACGAGGCCGTGCGCCGCCTGGAGCAGCACCGCAGTCTCTGCGACGAGATTATCCAGGGCCAGCGGCAGATCATCGACGGTAGGGCCCACGCCCCCGCGCATCTGAGCCACCCGCGGGGGGGCCGCTGGCACTCGCTGAACCCTGCCCCTTCCCTGGCAGACTACAACCTGGCTGTGCCGCAGCGCCTGGAAGAGCTCTACGAAGTGTACCTGCGCGAACTGGAGGAGGGCAGCCTGGAGCGGGCCACCATCATGGACCAAGTGGCCTCCAGGGCCCTGCAGGTGGGTGGGCGCCTGGGTGGCCTGAACATGGGCACGTGTGCCCAGGGAGGGGCTGATGACCAAGGCAATGCCTGCAGGCAGCTGGAGGGGACAGGACCAGGCTGGCTGGCACCCCAGGGAGTTGACTCCCTTTCCTTCTTACCCTACCCAAAGCCTTGTCGAGCCTGAGTAAGACCCTCATCCCTGAGCACTCCTGGGCATCGCTTGTTCCCACCCAGGGTCTGAGGGTCAGGGCTGGCCATCTGAGATATCACAAATGGCCCCAGGTGCCCTTCCAGGAGACCAAGCATCAGGCAGTGCCACTGGGGATGCCTAGCAGACCACAACTTATCCCCGAGGACCCAAACACCAGCCCACTGCCCTTCTGGGGCTCCCAGGCCATCCTACAACCCTTGTCACCCTGTGAGCCTTTGTGACTCTGTGTTGATTTGGTCCAGGACCAAATCTTCTAACTGTCCATCCTGGCTCCCCCCTCCCCAGGACAGCTCCTTGCCCAAAATTACCCCAGCAGGAACCTCGCTGACCCCGGATTCTGACCCGGAGAGTGTGAAGACACTGAGCTCTGATGCCCAGCGCCTGCAGAACAGTACTCTCCCTCCCCTCAGCACAGAAAGGTGAGAAGGGGGGCCACCTGCCCCAGCCCCCACCCTGTGCCCTGTCCCAGAGAGGCCACCCCAGACTAAGGCTAAATGGTGAACATGGAGCAGCAATGAGAGGGAGCAGGTGGCCCAGGTCTGGAGCCAGGACTCCTGGGTTCTCTCTCCTTTCACACCGACAGCTTCTCCCCGGGGGTGGGGGTGGGACCTCGGTGAGACAGCCTGGTCTACAGCCACTCATCTTCCTCTGCCAACTTCAGTGAAGGCCACCACGTGTTCAAGGCTGGTACTGGGGCCTGGCAGGCCAAAAGCTCCTCTGTGCCCACCCCACCTCCCATCCAGCTCGGCAGCCTGGTGATGCAGGAGGTGAGCTCTCAGTACCTGGTGGCCCCATGAGCTCCGCTGCAGTGGGTGCGGGACACGGGGGTGGACAGCAGCAGTTGGGATGGAGCCTTTCCCAAACAGCACCAGCCTGAGGCCCCGCTATGTCTGCTGAGTGGGGCATGGGGTCCCTGCTGTGTTTAAGGGTTTCCTCCTCCCAACACTCCACCTCATAGGCCCCGGCTCAGGACAGCCTGGGCAGCTGGATCAGCTCTTCCCCCGACAGCAGTGAGATCCTGTTGGAGATCCCCTTGTCCCACAAAGGTATGTGTGCCCTCTGCTGCCCTGGCCACCTCGCCTGGCCTTGTCTAAACTGTTCAGATCACCCAGTCCAAAGCCCTTTCCTGCCCTCTTCACTGCCAAGTGCAACCATGCATTGGGTCCTACACATTCTGAAGAGGCGCCATTGCCCCTGAGGATTAGTCAGTCAAGGACACTTAAGGGTCCTCTCTACATCAAGGAGAGACCTTGAGGCAAAAAGGTCTCTTTTTTAGAGAGACCGGGGCAAAACTGGAAATTAGAAAAGAGACATGTGGCATGGAGAATGGTGTCCCCACCCCCCGCCGCCGCCTCCACTCAGTCATCACTCTAATAGCAAATATCAATTCAATGTCTACCCCCTGGAAAATGTAGGTTGAGCCCATTTTCTCAATTAATCCTGGAAATAACCCGATGGCATTAGTTTTGCCATCCCCCATTTGCAGATGAAAGTGAGGCTCAGAAATGGGCCCAAGTTTCTTGCATAGCAAACCCCTGGAAAGTGCTGGGGTTGAAACCCAGGCAGTCTGGCTCCTACCTACTTCTGCCATGTCAGAGGAGGCTGTTAAGAGGTGGCCTTGATCTCGGGTTGGGGCTTCCCTGTGTCCCGCTGCAGAGAGGAAGGAGATCATGACTGGCACCAAGTGCATCTCGGTGAAGGCCGCCCGACGGCGCTCGCAGGCCCTGGGCACCGAGGGGCGACATCTGCTGGCACCTGCGACAGAGCGCAGCAGCCTGTCCCTGCACTCGCTGAGCGAGGGCGACGATGCGCGGTCACCAGGCCCGCTGGCCTGCAAGCGGCCACCCAGCCCCATGCTGCAGCATGCTGCCAGTGAGGACAACCTGTCCAGCAGCACGGGCGAGGCCCCGTCTCGGGCAGTCGGGCATCATGGGGACGGTCCTGGGCCCTGGCTGCGTGGCCAGAAGAAAAACCTGGGCAAGAAAAGGGAGGAGTCGCTGGAGGCAAAGAGAAGGAAGCGGAGGTCCCGATCCTTCGAGGTCGCCGGGCAAGGGGTGAGGCAAGGCGCAGGGTGAGGTGTCTAGGCATTCCCATAGCAGCTGGGGGCCTGAGGGCTGGATTTCTCCAAAGGCTCCAGGGCACCTCTAGCCTACCCCACACCTGGAGACACCACCCTCCACAAAGTCTCTGTCCCCAGCCTGGTATAGTAGCTGGGACAGATCCTGGTAGCAGATCCCTGTGCCACTCTCATCCTCACCCCACTGTTCAACCATCACAGCTCTCCCACCCCAAGACACACCTCCTGGGGTCCCATCAGGCGGAGCGCATCTCAGACCACAGGATGCCAGTGTGCAGGCACCCAGCCCCTGGTATCCGGCATCTGGGAAAGGTCACACTACCTTTGGCCAAAGTCAGACTCCCTCCAAGCCAGAACACGGGTCAGTATGGGCAAGGAGGGGATGGGGAGGGGAGGTCTCCCTCAGGCTGGGCAGCAGAGAAGACACATTGCATTTCCTGCGCCTCTGGCTGCCCCTTGCTGGAAGCATGGTTCTAGCAGAATATTCATGAGACTGGCATCTTGGCGTTGTGCCCATAGAGAGTTCAAGGCCACAGGGTGATGGGAGAGGAGTTGGGGAGGCATTCTGAAACCACTGATCCTGCCCCTTTCCCTGTTGCAGGCCCGGGGGACTCCTCACCCCTGGCTGTTCCCTCCAACCCAGCTGGTGGTTCTCGACGGGCTACCCGTGGGCCCCGCCTGCCCCACGGTACAAGCACCCATGGCAAAGATGGATGCTCCCGGCATAACTGAGGGGCCCTGCCTGGAACTGGCTCTCTCGCCCCTCAAGACTGAATGGGGCCTAACAGGGCATGGGAGGTGGAGGCTGGGCAGATGGAGATGACCAGGAAGTAGGAGCTCAGGATCTCAGCAGGCCAGGGCTCCTGAGACCCAGGAACTGGGGTGTCTGCCCAACCCTCCCATGCTTTCAGTGCCACCGGGGAAAAGAGGTGAGGCCAGGGGACATGGCCGGGATGGCTGGGCTCCCTGGCCTCCCAGCCCTGGACAGAATGCTGTTGCCAAAACCCTGCACAGCCATGAGGCCAGCCTTGGCCTTGGAAATGGAGGAAAGCAGCTGGCAGTGAGATGGGGCTCCTGGCCCACGTGTGGGGCACGGGCATCCGGGATGGTTGGGTAGGCACCGACAGGCACTTCACTTATTACAATTGGGGATGTGGGTGAGGGAGGGAATCTGGTTTTGTTACTTGGCAGTGGCCTTTTCTCCCCTTTCCTTTTTAACAATAAAATCTCATTTGGGTCTTGATGGTTGTGTTGGAAATTTGACCTTGTCTGGAATGTGGGGTGGCCATGACTAAGATTCCACCAACTCCCCCTCCCCGCCGTCCCCATCTACCCCTGGCTCACTGTATAACACCAACCTACAAATACCTGGGGGAGAGGGGTTTTGTTGTAGATCCTGAGGCCTCTCCCGAGGGTAGGGCTGGCAAGATCTATTATGTCCCTATCCCACTGGTCTTCACACCTGCCCAGGCACCCTCCCAGGAGAGATCAGGGACTTGGAGCGGCCCAGATGCCAGAAAGTCTCAAAACCCAGATGAGGCGGTTGCCCCTCAAGGTCAGGGCTCAGAAACTGCCCAGCTAAGCCCCTCAGCCTCAAAGTGAGGAAACTCCTGCAAGGGGAATGGGGCGTTCCCTGACTCCCCCGCAAGGGGAATGGGGTGCTCCCTGACTCCCCTGCAAGGGGAATGGGGTACTCCCTGTCTCCCAGGCAGGTGGGTTGCTGTGACCACGTGGGTGCTTTTACCTAGCCTAGTTCTGTGTCTGGGTGGGGGGAAAGCTCAACCAAGGGGAGTGAAACCCCTAAACCCCCTGGCTTGTGGGATCCTCCCCAGGTTGTTTTTACCCGGAAACTGAGTGGTTCAATCATCCCCTTACCACTCTGAGCATCGGTTTATTCAGGACCAAGAATGTTCCTTCAAGTCAGCTGTGAAATCAGCTCTTGAAACCAGGCATCTTGTCTACCACGCCTCACCTGGACTCCACCCCAGCCCTAGGGTGGCCGGCACCGGGCCATCCAGGGTACCAGGCTTGTTGCCACCTCCACACTCGCCTTGCCCTTCCCAGACCCACAAGGAGCACCTAGGCCAGGCCTTTACTCCCCGACCCCGAGGCTACTTGGGGGTCCGGATAAGGGTGTGGTATACGGGCTTGACGATGAGGTGCAGGTGCAGGGCGTTCTCCACCAGGTACTCTGAGTTGCGCCGCTGCAGGTCGGCGTGCGCCAGGAAGTCGCCGGCCTCCTCGCTGCTCTGGTGGAAGCTGTAGGCGTGGCGGACCAGCAGGCGGCCCTGCTGGCGCGCCCCCACCAGCACGGTCTTCTGGAAGCTCACGCCCGCCGCGTCGCCGCCGCTGCTGGCCGGCGTCACCACCAGCCGCGGTCGGCCGTCCTCGGGGCGCGCGGCGGGCAGCGCTGTGCCCGCGGCGTCCGCGTAAACGGGCCGCAGACTGACGGGCAGCCAGCGCGGCGAGAAGAGCACGTTCCAGGTGACCCGGCGGCCCGCGTCGTGGCCACTCGGGCCCAGCTGCGTCTGGAAGCTGGTGCTGCGGTCGTCGCGGGCCGGGTTGTTGATGACCCACGGGGCGCCCCAGGCTGGCGCGAGGTAGTTGCGGGGCAGGAAGGCGCTGCCGTTGACGTCGAAGAACTTGGCGTAGTGCAGCGGCGACGCGGCGTGGAACTGGTAGGCCTGCAGCAGGAGGTCGGCCACCGCGGGGCCGTGGCGCGCCAGGGCAGCTGAGCGCGCCTGCAGTTGGAACAGCTGTGCCGGTGGGATCATGGGGTAGCGGATGGCGCGCAGCGCCCGCTCGGCCACGGCAGGGGGCGGCCGCGCGCGACCCAGCCAGGCCTCCAGCGCTTGGAACAGCTCCAGTTCGTCCTGCAGCACCAGGTCCGAGCGTTGCAGGAGCTGCCACAGCAGCTCGGGGCTCACGGCGCCCCATTCGGCGCTGGCCACCACGGCCGACAGGTTCCAGGCGAGGAACTGCAGGCAGCTCTCACGCAGGGCCTCGTCCCCGGTGCCCACCGCGTAGTGGTACCAGCCCACCGCCGGGCCCGCGCCTCCCGCCAGGTGCGCGCGCATGTAGTCGGCCACGCCGCGCTGCAGGGAGGCCACGCCGTACTTGGTGGCCAACCTGTGCAGGGGGATGGCCTGGGTCAGTAGCACAGTCAGCTCCCCGCAGTACAGGTACCTGCGGGAGAGACCAAGAGGTGGGGTGGGGTCAGGGCGGTACCCACCTCCCAGCATAGCTTTCTCTGAGTCCACAGGGGACCCGGCCTGGAGTTGGAGCTTCACGGTTCAGGTGCAAATACAGTGGAAGCCCCACCCTGAGGCTTCCCATGTTTTCCTTTCAAGGACCCTTCCAGGCCATTCTTACTTCACAGGCTCTTCTTTCCGTTTCCGTGGTGATGTAGAAATTGCCTGCCTTGACTGTGCCTGTACTAGGCCTGCAGCTCTAGGCCGGAACAAAACAGACGTGGCTCCTGCCGGGGTTTACAGTCTGGTTGGGATCCATGGCCTGCCTTCTCCTTGCCATGAGTCTGGGCAAGTCACTTAATTTCAATGAACCTTAGGTTAATCAATCATCTGGGAAAGGGGGAGTGGCACACACCCCTCAGGGTTATTGTGACAACCAGAGGAGAATAAAGAAGCTTGCTACAGGCCAGGTGGGTGCCAGTGGCTCACACCTGGAATCTCAGCACTTTGGAAGGCCAAGATGGGAGGACTGCTTGAGGCCAGGAGTTCAGGACCAGCTTGGGCAACATAGCGAGACCCTATCTCTACCAAAAAAAAAAAAGTTAAAACATTAGTCATGCTTGGTGGTGCACACTTGTAGTGTCAGCTGCTTGGGAGTCTGAGTCAGGAAGATAACTTCAGCCCAGGAGTTCCAGGCTGCCGTGAGCTACGATCATGCCACTACACTCCAGCTTTGTTTTGTTTTGTTTTGTTTTGAGATGGGGTCTTTCCGTGTAGCCCAGGTTGGTCTCAAACTCCCGGACTTGAGTAGTCCTCCCACCTTGGCCTCCCAAAGTGCTGGGAATGCAGGTGTGAGCCCCCATTTCTTTTTTGCAACCTCGCCTTTTGTTTTTCCTCTCCTGCTGTTGATGATCACTTGTGCTGAGTATCTTTCCCTCTCACTTCATCTGCTGCTGTCCCGCTGCTCACCCTTCCTGCCAGTCCCCACTGGCACACGGCACCACCCTTGCCCCATAGGAGTGCGGCAGCCACTGCCAGCCATCTTCCCCAACATCCATTTCTCCCTTTTCCCCTGCGTGATTGCCTCTGGGAATAAAAGACCACATTTCCCAGGCTCCCTGATAGTGGGCATGGCCATGTGACTAACTGCTGGTCAATGGGCACAGTTTGGGATTTGCAGGAAGGCTGGTTAAATGCAACTGATTCAGGATAACAGGAAGACCCTTTTTGCCCTTCTGTCTTATCCCCTTTCCTGTTGCCTGGAACTTGGAAGCAATGTATGGAATTCTGCAGGCATCTCGTCTGAGCCGTTAGAACAGAGTTACTTTCTTAGACACTAGTGTGAATGGCACTCCCTGTGCAGCACCATGGCAGGAGGCAGGAGAGAGCCGTCTAACTTTTTCAACTCCCTAGCCCTATGGTTCCAAACCTGGCCAAACACCAAAACCACAGAGATGCTTTAAAATAAAAAATATTCCTCTATAATGGAATATTTAGGAAAATAAAAAGTAAATAAATAAAATAAAATAAAAAATGATTGCTGGCCCTAACCCTAGACCTGAAACTGATGATCCAGGTTGGGACCCATGAAACTGTAGTTTTTTTGTTTGTTTGGTTGGTTCGTTGGTTGGTTTTTTTGAGACAGAATCCTGCTCTGTTGCCCAGGCTGGAGTCCAGTGGCACGATCTCAGCTCACTGCAAACCCAAACTCCACCTCCCAGGTTCAAGCGATTCTCCTGCCTTAGCCTCCCGAATAGCTGGGATTACAGTTGCACGCCACCACACCCAGCTAATTTTCTATATTTTTAGTAGAGACGGGGTTTCACCATGTTGGGCAGGCTGGTCTCGAACTCCTGACCTCAGGTGATCTGCCTGCTTCGGCCTCCCAAATTGCTGGGATTACAGGCATGAGCCACCATGCCCAGCCCCAAAACTGTAGTTTTTAAAAGCTGTCCCATGGCCAGGTTTGGAAACAGCTCTGAGGGGGTTACCAGGAACCGAAAGTGACATCACACTGTGCAGATGACACAGGCAAAGACAGGGAGCTGTACAGTGGAAGAAGGGATCCAGGGGTCACTGTCATCCCAGTGATGTCTGGGGAAACGGACATAACAACCTCTAAGGGCCTGGGCTTCCCTGACCCTGTAGGTGGAGGAGCCAGGGACTGAGGAAGGGATGAAGCCTCCCCCTAGTCTTCCCTGTCCCACCTGATGAACTTGTCGAAGACCGCGGCGCAGTCCCGTGGCTCCTGCAGCACCGCCTCGCTCTGGTTACTCAGCAGCTCCCGGAACAGCTCGCTGTGCAGTCCCAGCAGCAGGCGGTGGGCGTGGAAGACCCGGACCTCGTCGGTGCCCGCAGCCTGCACCCGCAGAACCACGTCACTGGCGTTGCCCTGTCGCAGCAGCTCCTGCAAGCGCTGGAGCACCGCCTGGGAGTGGTTGATGGAGGTGCCAGCTGCCTCCCCACCAACATCGGCTCTCTGGGCTGCAGCAGGAAGGAGCACAGCACAGCCTGAGAGGTCGTCCGGGCCCAGGACCTCAGTCGGGGGTGGAGAGCGACCAGCTGGAGACATATGCATGGGTGTGAGCAGAGGGCAAGATGGGCCTAGGCAGACTGTGTGTGCACACCTGTTTGTGCCCACGAGGCGCGTGGATGCATCTGTGACACACAAACACATCCTGGGTGGGAAGGTCATGCCGGTGCAAACCCCAAGAGGATGCTCTTGGACGGGGGCGCATTCAGGCAGGGAGAGGTTGTGCTCAGGTTTGGGATAACATGCCCAGAACTCACCTCCGTGCTGCCAGCTCCCCAGGCAAGGGTTGAGGAAACTCGTGGTCCCACCCTTCTCACCTCCTAAAGAATTGTCCATCTAACCCCTTGGAGCAGTAGTCAGAAGTGGTGCCTTCACTAACAAATATTTACTGAGCACTTACTATATGCTAAACATTCTCCTAAGAGCTTGGGATATGGCAGTGGACAAAGCAAGCCAAGTTCTTACGCTCATAAAAGCACAAACTGACATATCAGACAGGTAAGACGCACACAAATAAGCACTCCAGTTTGTAAGGAGCCAGCCAGGGAACCAGTGCCAAGGCGCGATCCAGCCCTGCAAAGGCCCTTGAAGGGAATGGGCCTGGGGTACTGGGAGCAGAGAGAGTGTTAGGGAGGCCAGAGCAGTGGCAGGAGAGAGGGTGTCCGACGAGGCTGCAGGTGTGGAAGGGAAGCTGTTTTCCAGGCCCAGCTCTTTCCTCTTGGGTCCTGATCTCTGAGACAGAAGCCCACTTTCTGTGGGTGGCCAGCAGGGGACAGGAGAAAGTGCGAAGGGCCAGCTGGTGCTGGAACAGAACTTCCTGGGTAACTGAGCATCGAGGCCGGCTAGGCCGGCCCTTTTCTCATGCTCCAGGGATGAGAATGACAGTCAGATGGGGGTGTGCACTCAGTTACAGAAACTGTCAGCAGCTCTCCCAAGCCGAGAACAGCAAGGGGAGCCTTGCAGAGGGAGGCGGGCAGGGGCCTGATAGCAGCAGATGGGCCCCGGCCACACGCGCGCGCACGCACAGCACATGCAGGCCCGTGGTGCACACAGGAGAGAAGGCTCACACAGGAGCAGAGCATCTGTGCATGAGAGAGGGAGGCCAAGGGAGAAAGGGAGGGTGAGAGAGAAGCGGGTAGTGCATTTCCCAGCCCTGCCTCCCCCAGCTGTCACTTTGAAGGACCTGAATGCTGATGGCGTCCCCATTCAGCCTCTGCCCAGGACAATGGGCAATGGAGGGTCCTCTTGTCCTTAAGACCCCTGCCCGCCTGCCCGCCTGGCCCCTCCTTCCTTCAGAGAGATGAGTCCGTGGAGCTGTCCAGTCCACCCGTGCTCTCCCCAGCAGCTGGACACCGCCCCCTCCCGGCCGGCCGCGTGCAGCCAGGGCTGGGACGTCCTGCTGCTCCACCCTGCCCCGCACCTGGCCCACTGCCCGCTCACCTGCACGTGTGACCAGGCCCACCAAGGTCAGCATGGCCCAGAAGCTGCCCCAGGACCCAGGCTTGGAGTAGCCTCTCCTAGGCATCTTTGTGCTCAGCCCCCAAGTCCACTGGAGGGACGGTGAAGCCCAGACCACTCTGCTCACATCCCTCTTCCTTATATAGGATCCAGCACAAGGGGACAGCACCCCCCTTCCTGCCTGGCCTCCCTCCCCCACTCAGCCTCCTCCATGGATTGGTGGAAACTGGCCCCAGCTGTTGCCCAGGCAACCACTTAAGCCAGAGAGCGGCAGCCCCGGGGGCTATTGTGCTGCCTGTGGGCCCCCAAGGGGAACAGATCCGGAACCCTCCTCCCCCAATCTCCTTACCACCCAGCAGGGCTAGCCGTGCCTCTCCCTGGAAAGTTTCAGGCTCTCTGGAGAATAGGCGAGGGGCTCCAGGACCACTGGCAGCCATTGGCCTCCCCCAACCCCAGGCCTCAGCCCTGGCACGGAGCACACTTGGCAGCGTCGTGGCTGGAGCGCCATGGTGAGCCGGCTGCAAAGGAAGGGCCTGGAAGAGGAGAGGAGAGGCGGCTGAGGCTCCCACCCCTCCCCCACTCCCATTTGGGGTGGGTCAGCTCCTCAGAGAAAAGCTCAGGCATCTCTCGAATAGGGGCCCATGGGTAACTGGTATCAGTTGCACATTCTTTGTTGGAGAAGGTTCCCAGAGTGCTGTGGGGAGGGTGATGGGCTGGCAGGAAAGTTCTGAAGGGACTGTGACTGTCACCTCCCCCAGGGGCAAGCTGAGCCAGGTGGCAGGGCTGGGCATAGAGCAGATGCCCCCTGCCCCGTGTACCACTGCATGGGCGACCCCTGCCCAGAGCGGAGCTGGCCACCTTCCAGCTCTGCGCTCCAGCCAGCCCAAGGCTGGGTACTGTCTGCCCTGCTGTTTCCTGGCTTGAATTCTCCTTCTCCAAGTGGCCTCAGGTCTCTGAGTTCACCTCCTTGGAAGGCTTCTTTTACCAGCTTCTGTCTTCTTTCCAACTGTAATTTTTCCTTTTCCAGAGTTCCGAGGAGGCATGCTGCAGGCCTGGTGTCTCACTCCCACTGTCGGGAGACTGAGGCAGGGAGCTAGGTTGCAGTCTCAGTTGGGTTAGTGCAGAGGAGTGCTCTTCTAAAAACAAAGGCAACAGAGAGAGGAAAGTGAGGTCTAGAGCTCAGCGGAAGCATGTGTGTGTGTGGTGGCATGCTGTGAGTCCTCACCTTTGCAGGGAGCCAGCAGGGTCTGCCCCAGCTCTTCGTGGGAGGGACTATTTTGAGCTTGGCTAACTGAAGTGGGTGGCTCCCAAGGGATCTGACTCGGAGGCAGGGCTCTGGGTTGGGGATGAATTGAATCTTCCTCTCCCTGGCTCTCTGGATCCCAGGGGCCAGCTCGATGCATTGATTTCTGCCTCTGGCTGGCACGGAGACCCAACAGCTCCACCCCCTCTCTGGAGCCACAGAGAGAGCAAGAACTGGGTCTGGCACCTGCCTCGTCCGGGTTGGCAGAGTTGGAGATCTCCAACCCAGCGGAAACCCCTCCGGCTGCCCTAACTTTCATGCCTGGCTCCCCTCGTCCAAATCCACTATCCCTTGCCCACTGGCTGCCCGCCTGCCCTTCCCATGGGCTGTACCATGTCCTGGCTCAACCCAGCAAGTCCGAGTCTCCATGCAGCAGGGCAGCCCTTGTCCCTGAGGGCACCCCAGCTTCCAAGCACAGTGCTTTCAATAGGAATGTTATTGATGATAAGAGAACCCGCTACTCAGAAAACTGTCGTTTGATATTTGTGCCTCTCAACTCCAGCCTCCTTCAGCCTCTGCATCAGTCATTCTTTGTTTTGTTTTGCTTTTCTAGAGGCAGAATCTCTCAGTCACCAAGGCTGGAGTGCAGTGACGCAATCTTAGCTCACTGCAGCCTCAAACTCCTAGGCCCAAGCGATCCTCCTGCCTCAGCCTCCCAAGTAGCTGGGACACAGGCAGTGCCACCATGCCCAGCTAATTTTGTATCAGTCATTCTTGAAGGGTAGCCCCCTGCATTAGAATCTCCCATGCTCCACCTTGGAACCGGAATTTTCAGGGGCAGGGTCTGGCTGTCTGTATTTTCTAAGTACTCCCAGACAATTGTTACACGCACCCCAAGACAAGCTCTACCTACTAGAGTTACATTGGTGGCATTTCAAGTGTGAAGGAAGCTGGGAGGCCCTGCATCATCAAGAAGACCCGGGAGAGTCACCTCTGACTCCCCATCTCTGGCAGGCCCCACCTCCCATTATTTCTAACCTCCCTTATCCCTGGCCCTAAATCGAATGATTTAGAAACTAGCTTTCCACATAGAGGCATGCTCTGTTCTCATTTTCTTAACTGAGCACTGCTGGAGTGTCCGTGTGTGTGTGTTATGCATATGCACACATGTGTATACAGTGTGTGTGTGCACGTGCATATTTATATGTGTGTGTGCATGGTGTGTGTGCTGTGTGTGTGTTATGCATATGCACACGTGTGTATGCAGTGTGTGTGTGCATGTGCATATTTATGTGTGCGTGCGTGTTGTGTGTGCATGCATATTTGTGGATATGTGTGTGTGGTGTGTGTACTTGCATGTTTATGTGTGGGGGAGTGTCCTGGGGCGGGAGAGAGGAAGCCAGGTGTTTGCCCTGAGCAGTCTTTTTTATTTTTCTTTTGAGATGGAGCCTCACTCTGTCGCCCAGGCTGGAGTGCGGTGGCGCCATCTCAACTCACTGCAACCGCCACCTTTTGGGTTCAAGCAATTCTCCTGCCTCAGCCTCCTGTGTAGCTGGGATTACGGGTGTGCACTACTATGCCCAGCTAATTTTTGTAGTTTTAGTAGAGACAAGGTTTCACCATGTTGCCCAGGCTGGTCTCGAACTCCTGGCCTCAGGTGATCCTCCCGCCTTGGCCTCCCAAAAGTGCTGGGATTACAGGCATGGGCCACAGTGCTTGGCCAAGTCTTTGAGAGGAAGGATCTGCAGCACTGCATATATGTGTATATACACATATGTATATAGATATATATACACATGTATATACACATTTATATATATACACACATATACACACACATATATATACACATACACACATATATACATATATACGCATACACACACATATATACACACACATATACACATATATAGACATACACACATATACACACACATACACACATATATATACACATACACACACACGTATACACATATATATACACATATATACACATATACACATACACACACATATACACACATGTATATACATATATACACATACATATGCACACATATATATACACACACACATGCATATATATACACACACATACACACACACACATATATACACATACACACACATATATATATACACATACACACACATGTATACACACATATATATACACATACATACACACACATATATATATACACACACATATATCGGCTCTGTGGATCTGGGAGCTCCATAATTCCTTAAAGGCAAGTCTGATGAGTTCACAAGCCAGCACCATCCCAGAGAGGAGTGTTACTTCCCGCCCCAGACGGGAGTGTTTATAGCCCAAGCCGTGTGTGTCTGAGGTCTTTTGACCAGGAACCTCAGAGGCAGGATTTATTTTTCAAGTTCTGAGTTCTGCTTGACTTTTCTTTTTTCTGATTTTGTTGTTGTTGTTGTTGTTGTTAGAGATGGGGTCTCACTCTTTCACCCAGGCTGGAGTGTGATGGCACTTTCATAGCTCACTGCAGCCTCAAATTCCTGGGCTGAAGCAATCCTCCAGCCTCAGCCTTCCAAGTAGCTGGGACCACAGTGTGAACCACTGCACCTGGCTACTTGACTTTTCTTTCCACAACCCCATGTTGTTTTCTTTTGTTTTTTTTTTTTTTTTTTTTTGAGATGGGAGTCTCGCTCTGTCGCCAGGCTGGAGTACAGTGGTGCAGTCTCTGGACTCACTGCAACCTCTGCCTCCAGGGTTCAAGCGATTCTCCTGCCTTTGCCTCCCGAGTAGCTGGGACTACAGGAACCCACTACCACACCTGGCTAATTGTTGTATTTTTAGTAGAGACAGGGTTTCATCATGTTGGCCAGTATGATCTCGATCTCCTGACCTCATGATCTACCCGCCTCGGCCTCCCGAAGTGTTGGGATTACAGTCATGAGCCACCGCGCCCGGCCCATGCTGTCTTTTGGGGGAAGTTTTTCCCATTGTGATAAGTGATCCCTTTGGACAAGGAATCTCTAGTATTATAAAAGCAATGGAAAACTCTTGCAAGCTTGGGATCAGATGAAGAGTTTCTGAATCTGCAAAGGGGGTGATCAGACACTGGGCTGTGATAACACCTCAGAGGGGTGGGCTCCAGACGCAGCCTGGCCCTACCTGGCATCCTCCTTTGCATCTGTAGTGCCTCCTGTCCTGACTTAGGGTTCCCTGAGTCACCGGGCCACTTGGACTGGGGACAGGAAATCATGGGTTTAAGTTCCAGGACCCGTGTACTCAGGGGAGCACATAAAGATAAACATGAGGCCAGGCACGGTGGCTTACATCTTTAATCCCAGCACTTTGGGAGGCTGAGGCGGGCGGATCACTTGAGGTCAGGAGTTCAAGCCCAGCCTGGGCGACATGGTGAAACCCTGTTTCTACTAAAAATACAAATTATCAGCCGGGTGTGGTGGCTGGTGACTGTAATCCCAGCTACTTGGGAGGCTGAGGCAGGAAAATCGTTTGAACACGGGAAGCAGAGGTTGCAGTGAGCTGAGATTGTACCCCTGCACTCCAGCCTGGGCAACAGAGAGAGACTCTGTCTCAAACAAATAAACAAACAAAAAACCTTAAATAAGAAGGAATCCTTGGCCAGGTGCAGTGGCTCACATCTGTAATCCCAGCACTTTGGGAGGCCGAGGCAGGTGGATTGCATGAGCCCAGGAGCTCGAGACCAGCCTGGGCAACATGGTGAAACACTGTCTCTACAAAAAATACAAAAATTAGCTGGGTGTGGCGGCGCATGCCTATAATCCCAGCTACTCAGGAGGCTGAGAAAGGAGGATCGCTTGAGCCTGGGAGTTCGAGACTGCAGTGAGCTATGATCACACCACTGTACCACAGCCTGGGTGACAGAGTGAGACCCTGTCTTGAGGTGTGGGGAGGCAGAAGGATAAAAGAGAGAGAGAGAAAGAGAGAGACCCTTGTGCTCATGCCTGGTAGCTCTGGCTGGACTGATCAGAGCTGAAGACTTCAGAGACCAAAAATGTCAAGGTGTGGCCGGGCGCAGTGGCTCATGCCTGTGATCCCAGCGCTTTGGGAGGCCCAGGTGGGCATATCACGCGAGGTCAGGAGCTCGAGACCAGCCTGGCTAACATGGTGAAACCCCATCTCTACTAAAAATACAAAAAATTAGCCGGGCATAATGGTGGGCACCTGTAATCCCAGCTACTTGGGAGGCTGAGGCGGGAGAATCGCTGGAACCTAGGAGGCAGAGGTTGCAGTGAGCCAAGATCACGCCATTGCACTCCAGCCTGGGTGACAGAGCGAGACTCCGTCTCAAAAAAAAAAAGAAAGAAAAAAAAGTTAAAGTGTATGGCTGGGTCTTCATAACATCTTTCACCTTGCCCAGGCTGACTCAGAGCTGTCTGCCTTGGTGGATAGAATCCCTTCCACCATGGGCTAGCAGCCTACCCTGGCCACTGACACCACACCATGTAGGAAAGGATCGCCACCACCAAGAAGGGGCCTCTGATGTCTGTACAGGCTGTGTGCTGGCTGATGACTTGGCTGCCCTGTCCTGTCTGCTGCTGGCACTGAGCCGGACATCTCCAGGCTCCACCTCTTGAACCATGGATCCCAGCCAAGCATTGTCAGCAATGAAATACTATGATGGTATGCCTGGATGCACAAGATCCAGTGGACCCCACTTCTGCAGGACATTCACTCTGTTGTCATGGGTACGAAGCAGTTATACTGAGGGAAGCAAATCAATAGTGGTTCCCATGGGCACAGGAAAAAGCCAGCATTCTTGGCTCAGCCATTCCAGGTGGCTGAGGTCTCCACAGATCACATGCGGGAAGCTGGGACCTCCGAATTAAACCATCCAAAGGGGCTGGGCTGGTGGACTCACGCCATATCCCTGGCATTTTTCGGGAGGGCCGGAGGCCGGCAGGATCATGGAGGTCGGAGTGATCGGTAGACCATTCCTGGTAACACGGTGAAACCCGTCCATCTAGCTGGAAAATACAGATAAATTTAAGCCGGGATGTGGGGTGGCAGCGCATTGGTAGTCCCAGCTACTCAGGAGGCTGAGGCAGGAGAATGTGTGAACTTGCT